ATATATATATATATACATATACTAATTAATTCCCGTTTTGTTTCAGTACAAAATTTGCGAGGCGAATAATTATACCCTCGGCATGGAGACTTTTAAAGTAAGTATTTTCTTAAATTTTATTTTAATGTCTGTAGCGATGTGTAAACAATTTTTTAATTGCATATATTTGGGGAGGAGGCATGCTTTTCTCAAATATATCTTTTCTTGCAAATTCCAGGAGAATAATGCGACGATAGATGCTGATCTTTACAAAGGAGGGATCTTCCTCGGTTGTTCCTTTGGCGCAGCCGCGATGTATATATGGGCCGTCGGTATTTTGGCCGCCGGTCAGTCGTCTACAATGACGGGCACTTATGCCGGTCAGTTCGCAATGGAAGGATTCCTGAATCTGCAATGGGCTCGTTGGAAGCGAGTTCTCTTCACTCGAACGATCGCTATAGTTCCTACGTTCTTAGTAGCGTTCTTCGCCGATATGGACAATTTGAGTGGCATGAACGATATCTTGAACGCTATAATGAGTTTGCAATTACCATTTGCCACCTTACCTACAATTGCTTTTACGAGTAGTGTTCAGATTATGGGTGAATTTCGAAACGGAATGTATGTAACTTTTGGTTTTTGTATCCCTTATAATATTTGAAACATTATCTTTTTTTATGATCACAATATGTTATCTGTTGCAGAATAAACAAGATTGTGTCGACCGCACTATCGATTCTAGTTATAATGATAAATATATATTTCGTGATACAAACTGTTCAAGAAGACCTGCCCCAACATTGGGCTGTATTTCTAGGCATGTCTATATATGCGATTTTATATCTTATTTTCTGCGCCTACTTGGCTATTCATATGGCTGTGAGCATGGGTGCAACTTCTCTCGGTAATCATTGGGTATGTATATATTTTTGCTTATACATAATACTCCTTTATTGTGACATTAAATTATGCCTTAGCGGAGTTAAAACTTCTCAGTATTTTGTTAATTTATAATAATTTATAACTATATATCTTGGAATTTTTATTTTTTATAGTGCCATAATTGTAATAATATTCTTTATTAATTTACTTTCTCACATTTCAGTTTGTTACTAAATATATTGGTACACCTGTGAGCCCAACGCTTGGTATATCGAATCCTGCTGTTTATGCCAGGTAAGGAAAATTTTAGCGATATTCATTTGTCATAATTGTGACTAAATGCAATTTTACCAAATAACACTTTCATGTCCATCCAGTGAAATATTTTAATCGGAAAATTGTATGTGAAGAACTAATATGATTTTGTGTGTATAATTATACACAAAATGTTTAGTGCAATTGAATAATTTTATGAAGAAAATTATTTGTTGGTGTATATGTATGTGTATATTTGATATATATGTCCCTCTTATGTTGCACGATTCGGCATGTACATACACTAACAATTTTTTGTATAGAACTTACTTTTTTTGCAAAATGTAAATTTACGCAAATAAAATATATCATTTTTTACTATATAAAATAAATTTGAAAACAACAAGATGTGTTTTTAAAATTTAAAACTAACAAACTTAATAAAATGCTTAATTTGGTGCTTGAATATATATTTTTCCTAAGACCAAAGGTTGTGGGAAATATGTGTTGTGGGAATGATTAGTGGGAATATAAAGTTTGCTCTATAGTGTAATTTTTGTGCCGAATTAACACAGATAATTGCAAGCGATGAGCCAACTGATTTGTGACTCACACCATGCTTTTTGCACCTTTCTACCGTAAACGATAATTAACTCTGCATTATCTACACTAATGAGATTGAATTTCAATGTTTGCACTTGTTTGGCCAGGTCATGCAACTAAATCATAATTTGGTATGCCAAGTGCTCTATTTGCTACAAGGTATTATTCTTACTGTTAAAAATCTATATGTATATCTTAGCACGCTTTTACATATAAAAGAATTTTTTCTAACAAATGCTTTTAAAAGAACCTTTTAAAACACCATATGTTTTAATTTTAAGTGCATAATATTAAGTAAAATTTTTATATTTGCATTATTTTTTACAAGGAAGAAATTTGTTTGCAATAATAACTTAAATGTATGAACTATTTTTTTAATGATTTCTGAAAATTATCTATCATTAATTACTATTTAATTATCTATCATCAATTACTACTATGTTAAATGTGTATGTATATATTTTTATAAATTAATTTACTTAATGCTTTTAAAAAGAAATATAAAGATAATATAGATTACGACATAAAAAGTTACTTTCATATATGCTCATGATTTAGAAAGAGTTTTCTTCATTCATAGTTTTCACAATACGTTGGAAACATCGTTAAACATTTAGTCGGAATAATGCAATTGAATATGCGAGACAATATGCGACTCTTGTATATTCCACAAACATGCGAATATGTCACGTTGGAAAGGTGTTTGTAATATCTCGTGACGTCAGCATGTGATGCTCCATGGTATGTGTACGATCAGTTATTCTCGATATATTGTGCGAAAAAAATATATTCTTATATTAAACAAATGATGCTTTATCATTGTGATATGCTTTATCTCCATTATGCAATGATAATTCTGCTATAGCGTGAAATATCTTTGTTGTTCTACTGTCAATTTCTTCGTTTGGTTCCATTAATTCTTATTAATGTGTCTCTAAAAGAAACTCATGTATGACGAGTGATTAACTGGAACTATTTTCGTTGCATGCAAAAATTTTTAACACACGAAAGTCTGAGCTTGAAACGTTGACTTGTCTCGTCATAATGAAGGTAAGGATGCTACATCGAGATTTATAGTGTTGTCTTGATTCAACTTGGATCTATTTCAAGACATATATTTAAAGTATCTTAAATGTTAAATATATTGCAGAACAAATCCAGCATTCACCATTCAAGAAAGTTTGCGTGGCAGTTTTACATCAATAGCAGAATACTAACTCATTAGCGACAACTATATCTGCAATGAGATTATGTTCAAGTGATAAACGTCTTCAATTATACAAGAGATAACTTTTACTGCCTTGAAGAAGAAATATTGACATTCCTTTATTAAAAACACATTTATTTTGAATAGGATAATTTATTACATCAAGGAAGAACATTGGATAATTTAGACAGTAAATTAGCACATATTGATTAAGATAAATAACGTAACATCTGAATCTTATATATTTGACAATCAATTTTTATTCGAATATTTTTGCTTTAATGATATATTTCATAAGTTTTTGACATATGTGTATAAAAATTTTCGATGTTGCAAAATATCTATATTAAAATGTTACTTTTACATAAAATATAGTTTTGATAATGCATAATTATTTAATTGTATATATAATATGTAAAATAATTCAAATATCGTTTTCAATTAATTTTTATTGGTTTTTACGCATATAAAATAATATTTACTTACTATATAAATAATACCTGCAATCTTTTCAATATGACAGCAAATCTACAAGTTTGTCGTCGATTACACATCACGCTATTTATATATTGTTTAAAGTATCACAAAAATACTTCTAATCAGAGATAAAATACATATACATCTTTTCTTTTATTTTTATATAAGTACTCTAAAGTATCTACTTGCATCTGTTATAAGATGCTCGATTTTAAAACAGAAACATATTCTGTATATCAAATCCCACATGTATTTGCAATATTTCAATGAATATTATATAAAAATAAAAAAAGATACATTCTTATAAATATGCCTCGTAATTTGAATTACAACCACATTTCTATTTACTCATTGATTTTCTGCAACTAAATGTTTCTTTATAGGCAGTGTTATATACACACATTAGCTTTTCACACAAATTTACTATTGTATTGTATGAAGAAGAAACTTGTGAACGTGTCGAAGCTCAATATACTATGACTAGACAATCATTGCAATATCACATGTATTGTATAGTTAGCAATAACAGTAATTAAATCATACAATGATTCTATAAGTAGAGTAAAAAAGTTCTTGTTTCTTCTCATTCAAATTTTTGCTGCAAAATTTGTCCATTGCATATTGTATTTTGCAATATGTTGAATTAATCATACTGAATGTTTATTGTACATTCATACAATTTTAAGTTCAGTGATATAACGAGATATCACAAATAACAATTATCACATAATACACATATTTTCTCTTTATAAAAGTACCTGATTATTTGTCTCTTTTAAGTCTTAAAATGAAATAATTCTAAAATTTGGAGATATTATCCATTTGTCTATTTGGATTTAATATCTCTTAAGTAATAGAGTGTAGTATAAATCATTATTTTATCTCGATGGTCAGACTTGATTTTTCTCAGTTTCAAACGAATTATTAATATGTAAAAAGCATTTTGCAATGAGCAATCCAAAATTCTCAAAGAAATGTCGCGAATATTAATATTCTTTCATGAAAATAAACTGACATTTAAAATACGCCTATAATATAAACATAATAATCGATGTTAATGATGTAATGAGTGTAACATATCACATAATGATTCGCTTAACAATAAAATGTATAATTTTAAAAACTAGTAGTTGTTTCTCGCGCGATATTGTACAATAAAAAAAGTCAATGATTAAATCTTGTCATTCATCATAAAAGATTTTTCTAAAAATATAATATAGAATTAAAAATGTGTATCTAATATTTCATCCCGTTTCTCTTGACATCGCGAAAAAACTTATCTTGCCCAATTTTTATTGTAGACATTATAATTAATGATTAACATTTTTCAATGTCTTGCCATATTTTTGACTAATATTCATTATATGGCATCATTATAATCGTTATATGTCAAACGAAAATAATAGTGCCTATGTTCTTTTTTATGACGCCAGTATATAAAAGCTATTATTAATAAAACCAGTAAAACTAACATTAATATAGACGACGCCAGGATCGCTGAAACAACCAAAAACAGAATTTTTAAACCTGTGATGATATAAAATATATACAGAATATATATATAGACTATATATATATATGTACTGTATAGAGCAAATCGTAGATATAGATATTCAATAGATAAGTAATAATTACCAATAACGTCGCTAGGACTTATGTCCTCCCAAGCTATTAAACATTCTCTTTCCCAGTCTTTAGGTACAACATTTCTTGTCAAGTTGATAAATTCATCTAAAGGGCATAATGTATTACAGCCTGGTAACGTCATAAGTATTGGTTCCGCAGTACTATTTTTATAAGAAATCTATGGATAAAGAAAAATATATAAAATATGCAAAGGTAATTACAATTTTTATAAGTATTGATAATTTTACTTAAATAACAAATTTTGTATGAATGTTAAGTAAAATTTATACCGTTACAAGATATTGGTTTTTAGAGTTTGTCCTCAATTCTATGAGAATCATAGCAGTATAAGGTGGACAGTGAGGATCAAATAAATTCAAAGTCATTAACATATTTGCTACAGTCTCATCATGAGCACTGTACATCCATATCTTCCTATCAGGCTTTAAAGTATTTTGTACTTTCTTGACCATGTGATCTATCATTTCTCCAAGTAGTGAACCTAACGACATATTTTCAAAGTAATGTATATAATTTAAAAAAACAAAAACAGGTAATAAGTATCTTCGAAATAATAATATAAAGATAATAATAAATTATTTAAAAATGTACAAACACAAATAAATATAAATATA